TACCTTTTCCCATTAAGATGATGTTGCAGTGAAGGAAAAAGATGGTAATCTGATGGAGAATATGGTGGGTGGGGGAGAACTTCCCAACCAAACTCCGTAATCTTGTGTTGCATCAAACGTGCCACATGTGGACGTGCATTGTCATGGAGAAGAACATTATTCTGATTGATGAGTGAAGGAAGTTATTTAAACGTTCCAGTTGCTGACTATAGATCTCTGCATTGACAGCTCTCTGTGGATTGAGGAGTTCGAAATTAGACGAATAAAGTTAACGAGATTCCCACTGTCCCTATCTACTATCTAGCGAAACCACAGCCAAGGGAATGGGCTTGGAAAAATCAGCGTAATTCAACGTACATGAAGCTACAGTAATTCAACGTTCATTTCATGAAGCTACAGTATGATCCATTGCTAGGCCACTAGCTTATGTTAATTTGTCCCACCAAATGCAAAGCATCACTTTCTGCAGATGGAGTCCAGGTTTTGGGGTTGGAAGTGGTTTTTGTCTAGGACTGATTCATTGTTTTTGGCATTTAATGTTCACATAGAGAATCCACTTTTCATCACCGGTGGCAATTCTGTCCAAAAATTGTTCACGCGCATTATGCACCAAAAGAGACAAAGCGACATTCACATGTTGGAAACATGATCATCAAAGAGTTTGTGAGGCACCCAGACACCTTCTTTGTGAAGTTTTCCCATATTCCTTAGATGTTTACATATTGTTTCATGAGAGACATGCAATTTCAGGGCCATTTCACGAGTGTGTTGCCTTGGGTTAGTCTCAACAAGCGTCTTTAGAGCATCAATTCCAACATGTTGGCCCCTGCCATCACAGTTTTTAAGGCTAAAGTCGCCTGAATGAAATTTGCTGAACCATCGTTGACACTTACAAACATTCAAAACATTTCCATAAACTTCTTTGATTTTCTTTGTGGCTACAGAGGCGTTGTTTCCCTTCATGTATTCAAATAGCATTACGTGCCAAATGTATGTCTTGTTGTGTGCCATCACTATAAGGGATTAGAGTATACTAAACTTTACACATTATATAGGCTCCACTAACATGATGTTTAGGTGGTTTGTTT